ATACCATATCAAAATTTGAGAAGTGAAGTGTAGATAGGGTGAGAGTACACACAGATATACCTAAGTGTTGTACTCTCTAAGAGGCGACCCTATACAGTCTATACAAACATGACAAATACACATGTTTGACAGCTGCAACATCCAATCAGGGTCTGGCGCGCTTGCCGAAAACCCAAATGGGCCACTTGGGATTCCGGGAGCGGTTTTGCCCGAATCCCTCCCTCAACGGAGAGGAGGGGTTTCTAGCTGGATAACCAGGCCTTACAGACAGATGTTATAGGGCGATGCATTCCACTACTCGGAAATCGGACGTGGAATGTTGTTGCCTAGTCTGCTAGTGGACGTGTACTTCAAATCTGGATGCATAGAAATCAGGGTGGTACATAAAAATTACCCTATTTTCCTTGAGTAAGCAGGGTAATTACCCGGATATCGAGAGGCCTGGTGTGGATCCGGTAAAGGGATGCCAAAAGCGCAGTCAGTCTGGCACGCTTACAGGTTTGTGAGCGTGCCCAAGGTTCGAACTTCCAGAGCGGTCCAACGACAAGGGACAAGCTGTTCAGATTATATAAATTATATATAATTGATAGGTTTGATAGTTGTTACTGAACCTTCCTGTAGAGGGTACAATCCCTTCCTAATGGAACCTCTTTTCTCTCGACACTCTCGTCTACCTCCTAGCTAATCCCCGCCGCCACATTCATGGCGGCCTTTTTCCTACCTCCTCCTAGAATCCTAGTTTAACACAAGCGTGGTACAGCTTGTGCGGATCTGAACAAATGCAAATGCCAAAACACTGAGCGGCAGGTAAGTGAAACAAGTAGTCTCAGATTGAATATATTTCGAGTTGGGCTTGTTTTTCTGTCGACCTTTAGTCAAACTGAGCTAGTCAAATCCAGGGCTTGCGCATATCAGTTTCGCCTCACTGGCCACTTCCACGGGGTCGTGTCACATTTTGCGAGCATAGATCTACTGGGTACTCGTTTCAGTTCCCTGATTGGACAGCCTCAAGAATCAGTTATTTTCATGTTAGGGCGTGTCCCCAAAAATCGTTTTTCCGTTTTTGACACGCGAAGCCGTTTGACGGTACGCAATGTGAATCGATTTTGAAACAGATCCCGATTTGGGAACAGGTCCAAAATGAAGGGTGCAGTTCGAAAGGACAGCACCGAGACCAGCACTGACATAGGAGCGGGTAACGGGGTTCCGCCATGCGAAGCCTACGCGATGCGCGTATAACAAAATGAGGGCCAATCCGCGCAGCAGGGGTAGGCTCTTCGTTAGCGACGTGCGAGGCTGCAAAGTGTCGCTAGAGAATTTCACTAGAGGTGGTGCTGGTACTGGTTGGCAAACTGGATTTTTCTGTGGTCTATTTTTGTCCTTGTTGGAAATATCTCAAAGGACTTAAGCGTTTCTGAAGTGTAACACTACACTCGAGGAAGATCGCAACGGGTACGCGAGTCAACGGAGGTTACACGAGGGGGCGAACAAAGAACGCGAAGGGACTCGAAGGGTCGCAACTGGAGGTTGCGACTGACCGTTACAACAGCGCGGATGGTAACCGAAGCGACAATCGAGTCGCTGTGCGACTCGATAACCGCTCCTGCAACTGTATTCTACAACTGCTTTCTTATCTTCTATATATTGTTGTATGCTTGTTTCTTTAATCAATCACTTGTTCTCATATACTAGTACAAGGGTTCAACTGCCTCAACTTCCGCTGCACTACTCAAAGTCTCATTTCTTCAACTGGGACTTAGTCTCTGGAAGGATCCTAAGGGCTTTTCTCAGCCCAACAGTCCTGGAAACTTGGGCTGCCCTACGCTCACCAGCAGCAGGGGGTCGCAGAACGCATGAACCGGACCTTGCAGACGACGATGCGGAAGCTGCTCCTGGGGATGAGACTGCCCACCACATTGTGGCCAGACGCGATGACACATGCAGTCCACCTGCACAACCTGTTGTCCTCGTCATCACTTCCCAACAACGCATCACCGCACCTGCTGTGGACACGAAAAAGGGGCAGCACAAAATTACTTCGAGTTTTCGGTTGCATGGTACAGTACAGACCCCACACAGCCAGAGCAGGACGTTTCACCCAACGAGCACGATGGGGGCTACACCTCGGCATCGCACAACATTTTCACGCATGGAAAATCCTCGACATACAAGACAAAACTACAGTGGCATCACGTGATGTTATCTTCTACGAGCGACTGACGCTGCAGCATTACCTGGACAACATTGCCAACACACATGACCCCACCGACGGCTTCGCGGGCCTTCGTTCCTTCGCCGACCGTGCTGTCGAGGCTGACGCAGCAGAAGAAGACATACCTGGAGCCTCGGAAGCTGCCGGACCACTCCCTTTCTGTTCCGTACCTGTTCCACTCGACGAAGACAATCCTCTCGATAGCAACAACCTCGACACCTTTTACCACTTCGCTGACCAAGGTTACGTTACACCCCACCCGGTCGACACGAATGTTTCAGAACGTATCGGCCCAAACTTCTTACCTGATCCAGAAGACGCTGACGAAGCAGCCTATTCCGGGAATGAAAATTCCCCTCGACACACACCAACAGGACTGCAGATACTCGGCCTATGGGTCTCCGTCCAGCATCCGCCGCCGCCATCTCCGCGCGAGCCCTCGACTCTGTCGCAGGCTCTGGGGGGGGAACATAAGGCGAAATGGAAGGAGGCGATGGAAAAGGAGTTAAAGGCTCTACAAGACCGAAATACATGGAAGCTGGTACTTGCAACAAGCATCAACGGGAAGAACGTCCTCTCGGGAAAATGGGTGTACCGCATCAAGACCAATGCAGACGGTTCCACCGAACGATTCAAAGCTCGATGGGTCGTACGAGGGTTCGATCAACGATACGGAACCGACTACACAGAAACATTTGCGCCAGTCTCCCGTCACACCTCATTGCGCATCCTACTCGCCGTCGCGGCCACGAAGAAACTACCACTGCGCCAAATCGACGTCGCAAATGCTTTCCTGTATGCACCTGTGGACGCTGAGATCTTCGTCGAGCAACCCCACGGATTCATCGACGACCCCACGAAAGTATGCCAGCTGGTAAAATCCCTATATGGGATCAAGCAAGCCCCGCGGCTCTGGCAGCAGCATCTTCACGGTCGCCTCGTAAAAATCGGATTCCTACAGCTGCCGCATGACCAAGGCATGTACCGACTGCAAAAGGGAAGAGAGTATATCCTACTCATCGTTTACGTCGACGACCTGCTCTACATCGGTTCCACTACCGACATCGCCACCTAGTTCGAAGGGGAGCTGAAAGAGGACTTGACACTCACGGTGTCCGACGCAGTGACCCAGTACCTGGGACTGAATGTCGTCGAAGACAACTCGGCGCTCTACCTACACGCTGGAAAGTACGCAGGCACCGTCGCGAAGAAATTCGGTCTAACGCCGACCACGGTCCCGACTCCCTACCGCTACGGGAACAACAACAACACCTCCGCAAAACTCCCCGCGAAGCAAATCCTGGAGTATCAGCAGAAGCTCGGCTGCCTACTATTCGCAGCAGTAATCTGCCGACCCGATCTATCTTATAGCGCGAGCCAACTGGCGACGCATCTGAAGCAGCCGGAACAAGAAGATCTCGAGGAACTTAATCGGGCACTACTCTTCTTCGTCTCCACGCCGACGACCGGGCTTACCTACAGTAAAGTAACGGCATCATCCGTACAACTACTCGGATACGTCGACGCCGACCACGCGGGAGACAAGGGAAATCGACGATCGAGAACGGGCTACATCTACCGACTAGAACCTATCGGAACTATCTCCTGGCAGTCGAGCAAGCAGGAACTAATCGCAGTATCTTCGGCTGAAGCAGAATATATCGCCCTCTGTACTGCGACCAAGGAAGGAATCTACCTACGAGAGTTGCTAGAGGAAACGAAAATTGCAACCCTGCCCGTCTTCTCACTCCTCTGCGACAACCAATCTGCGATCAAAATCGCGAACAAGGACGGCTTCGCCAATCGAACCAAAGACATCGCCCTGCGGTACTTCTTCGTCAAGGATGAAATCGCGAAGGGGAGACTTCAACTCAGTTACTGCCCTACGACATAAATGGCCGCAGACTATCTGACGAAGAAATTGGCGAAGGCAAAAATCGATTACTGCATGCTGCTGACCGGGCAGACGAACGTCACCGGATCTGAACACGTCAGCACTCCAGAAACGAAGGGGAGTGTTGGAAATATCTCAAAGGACTTAAGCGTTTCTGAAGTGTAACACTACACTCGAGGAAGATTGCAATGGGTACGCGAGTCAACGGAGGTTACACGAGGGGGCGAACAAAGAACGCGAAGGGACTCGAAGGGTTGCAACTGGAGGTTGCGACTGACCGTTACAACAGCGCGGATGGTAACCGAAGCGACAATCGAGTCGCTGTGCGACTCGATAACCGCTCCTGCAACTGTATTCTACAACTGCTTTCTTATCTTCTATATATTGTTGTATGCTTGTTTCTTTAATCAATCACTTGTTCTCATATACTAGTACAAGGGTTCAACTGCCTCAACTTCCGCTGCACTACTCAAAGTCTCATTTCTTCAACTGGGACTTAGTCTCTGGAAGGATCCTAAGGGCTTTTCTCAGCCCAACAGTCCTGGAAACTTAGGCCGGTGTCCGCTGATTTCGGGCGTGAGCTGGGCGTGTCTTGTTCGGGCATGTTTTATGGTTACAAACCCAAAAGTGGTAACCAAACTCGTTGAACAAGGCACGTGCCTTACTGACACGCCCTTAGTGTGCAACAACGTCACTCGTGCTCTGTTCCGTTTGACACCACATTCGCGTTGTTGCAAACTGCACTATCCGTCATTAGGGCGTGTCACTAAAAGTCGTTTCGGCAAAATACCATATTAAACCGTTCTAGAGTTTTATTTGACCGCTCTAGTGACAAGCCCTCACACATCTAGTACCACAATGCACAGTCTGGTTCCGTTTTCTGCGTCTATGACAATGGCGCACCTGGCGAAAGGTGCAGTCTGCGATTTCACTGCGCGCATGCACATGCCACGTGCAGCCTTGCCAGTGACCTGCTTCGATTACGAGCTGAACCAGCAGCTGGCGAGCCCAGATTCGGCGCACACGTCCGACGCTCGCTTTCCTGGCAGTAGCCGAAGAGCCAGAAGCGGCAAGCAGCCAGCGACGCCACCAGGTTTGGGGATCCAATGAAATTCAGGGCCAAGTTTTGGAGGTTTGGATTCGCCCGCGCGGCATCCGGGCTTGCGCGCTTGGCATGTCGAAGGGTTATGAATACGGCAGCGTCGGAGTTCCGAGCCTTGGGACGAAAATACAGCCTCGGGACGAGCCCTTATCTGTCGGCCACCCGAACCGGACAGACCGCCTATTGGACGATGATCAGGCTCAGTCAGAGCTTGGGCGAGACGTCCGGTAGCCACTCTAGGCTCCCAGGGAGAACCAGATGTGTCTCGGGGGAGTGTTAACGGTGGAATGGGGCGGTGGTATCGAACGGGCCAGTGGCCTCACAGGGGCTCTATTGAATGCTTGGACACAATACGTCGCCGAGAGACAGACAATACGTTGAGACACCCTGGATCGTTGCTTTGTCGGTCCGTTCACTCCGATATTAGTACGATCGTCTTCTGCCCCGGATGCACAGGGAGCCGTGCTGAGGGCCGAAAGTAGCAGCGGCGAGGAAGGGCGAGGAGGGAGGGGCGTGCGTGCGAGCAGCTGCAGGAGCAGGAGGGAGCGGCGGAGTAGCAGGGAGCGGCGGAGGGCGGAGGACGGCAGGCGAGGCGGCAGCAGGTACTTGAGCGGGAATGGGCAGCCGCTGGTGGCGATGGGCCCCGGGAAGCCTTGGTCTCATGGGGCGAAGCCGGGGGCTCCGCATGCCCTTGGGGGTGGAGCGGGTCGAGGGTGTGAATGGGGCTGCAGGGGGAGAGGGCAGCAGCACCCTTAGGAGTGTGCGGGTGTGGGGAGGAGTTTCGCCAGGCAGGGCGCGGGTGGTGGGGATGCTGCTGGCTGCGGGCGCTGCAGGGGCGGGTGCTGCTGTGGCGGTGGTGATGGGGGGGAGGGAGGGAGCGGCTGTTGGAGGGGGGGAGATGGCGGATGCGTGGGGTCAGAGGCACGGGGAATGGCTGCTGCCGCGAGCGGCGTGTGCCGACGTGCCTGCAATCGGTTATAGCAGCGGATTTTATGGTAACGAGTCAAATTCCAGCCACTTTGAATCTGGTGGCGCTGGTGGGGCTGGGAGCAACGGGAGCAGCTGCAGTGTTACACGCATCAGCAGCAGTGACAGCGCTGCTGAGAGCACCTTCAGTGATCCCACCACGGGCAGGAAGCGTGTGGTGATGCTGGGGTCTGGGTGGGGCGCTGTGAGCTTCCTCAAAGCCATAGACGCCAGGGCGTATGACGTCACCATCATCTCGCCCTGCAACTTCTTCCTCTTCACCCCGCTGCTGCCAAGTGTCACCACAGGACAGGAGTGGTCGAGGGCAGGAGCATTGCTGAACCAATCAGGCGGATCCTATTGAGGGTGAGCTTTCAATCACGCGCTGGTTACGAAGTGCTGGTAGCAATGTTGTTCGATTGGTGTCATGGATAAGAGTATGTGGTAACGTGCTAGTACTTTCGTTAAGCTGCGTGAACCACCGGTTTTCGGGAGAAAGACGAGGAAGGGGGGAATGAGAAGATTGATGCGCGATGCAGAGAATGATTCGATTTGTCGCGAGTGGGTCTGTATGCTGGTGACTTCTCCTTGATCAAACCCTCTCAAAGCCCGTTTCAGCAGCATCACTTTCTCTCTCTGCTCCTCTTGCCCTCTTCCCTTCGCCCTTCGCCCTGCCAACCCCCCCTTCTGCCAAGCTTCCGCTTCCTGTCAGCATATGGCCCGTGTGCTGTCAGCATATGGCCCGTGTGCTGTCAGCACACGGCTAGTTTCCCCGAGTGCACAGGCATCGACCCCAACTTGATGCCGTCTTTCGGTTCCAAGGCCTCCATCCCCCCTCCCCCCCTCCACCTTCCCCCCTTAAACCCTCTTCTCTTCCCGTGCCTATCAGCATGACAGCACAACTCGTTTCGTAGGAGCTGAATGCCCGAGAAGCATTCGTTCAGATTTGAAGGTACCTCTCCTGCCGCGCCCCTACCCACCTGCCATTACCTGTCCATTCCCCCATCTCCCGCCCCCCCTCGTCCTATCAGCACGGCAGCACGGCTCGTTTCCTCGAAGCTGAATGCACAACCATTGACCCAATCACCAAGACCCTCTCCTGCCGTGCCCCTGCCAACCTGCCCCCTCCGCTGCCTCTGCCGACTGTGTCGACGATTGCAGGACAGGGGGGGGAAGATGGGAGGGGAGGAGGTGGAGAGAAAGGGAGTGGCGGTGTTTCTGGTAGCGATGGCCCTGGTGGTTCTGCTGGCGCTGCTGGTGGTGATGCTGTTGGTGAGGCGAGGGGACAAGGGGATACGCACGTGCAAGAGAGTGGCAGTGGGAGTGAGAGTGGGGGAGCGGGCGGTGAGTGTGGGGGAGTGAGGGAGGTGCGGTTCTCGGTGCCGTACGACATGCTGGTGGTGGCAGTGGGGGCCACGCCCAACACATTCAACGTGCCTGGAGTGAAGGAGCACTGCCACTTCCTCAAGGTAGTCAACCTGGAGTGAGGGAGGTTTGCAAAACACTCATTGATACCTGCGAGACGGCTTGATAACCACACACCCCTCTTACCCCATCCTCCCTTGCCTAAGCCATCTCCCATGAGTGTGCTCTCTCTGCCCTCTCTCGCCCCCCATCAGTCCCTAGACGATGCAGAGGCCATTCGCAACACACTCATTGATCGCTGCGAGGCGGCGTGCCTGCCAGGGATAGAAGATGAAGAGCAAAAGAGGTAAGATGCTGCACCTTCCTTCCGTGTTCTGCAATTTTCCGGCATCTCTTCCCCAATCTCCCTCCCTCCCTCCCTCTCCTCCTCCTCCTCCCCAGCACCCCCCCTGCTCGGCTGGCTCAGTCGTTCCCCGCCATGCATTCCGGTCGTGCCTTTTGTTTCTCCACTCCACACACACAATGCTGCCCTTGTCCTTCTCCCCTGCCCCACATCTCTCTGCTGCTGATCGCATCATGCTCGACAGCTGCCCCTTCCACTCCGCCACTGCTGTTGCCTCAGGCTGCTCTTGAGGCGCCTCTCTAAGGGCGCGTATAAGTGAATCCGAAAGTGACGTCCCCGGACGTCAGTGGGAGCTTAGGGTGGTTACCACCATATAACAGACACTGTAGATGTCTGCCAGTGTTCATCGGAAAATTGCACGCATCCGAGCCAAGCTGATGTCCCAACGCATCAACTGCCTGCCCAAAGCATTTCTCGAGGGCAGGAGTAAAGAAAACAAAACCAAGCATGCAGCGAAAGCACGAAACAGCTCGGGACACACGGTTTTCGCACGTGCAGTGCCAGCACATTGCCACACACGTCTCCAAGTCGCGAACTGGAAACGAATGCCATGTGCGATCCCTCGTTGTTTTCGCACATTACCGGATGTGTTTTCCATTCCCTTTTGGTCACATGACGGCTTCGTTTTGGGACCCTCAACGAAATTTCAGAGCCATTTTGTATTTCGTCAGTGTTCGATGTGCTTGTGTACCCCTCGGAATAAGCAAATTTGACGCCGTGTGGACGTCCCCGCGTGATGTCAAAATAGTTAATCCGGCGTCTTCCGATTACTTTATACACGCCCTAAACCACACTTCTGTACTTCCTCGGGCTCTTGCACATACTCGCTCTCCCCTCACCGTCCCCCCTCCTCGGCTGCTGCACACAATGATGGTGGGAGGTGGCAGCAAAGGTGGTGAATGTTGACTCGAATCCAAAGTCACCTAGTAGTACGAGGCGGCGTCACAGGAGTGCAAAGCCCTCCTCTCCCTCCCCTCCCCTTCCTCTCCCCCTTCTTCCCTGGTTTCTCCCCCACTGCAGGCTGCTGCACATAGTGGTGGTGGGAGGGGGCGCGACAGCAGTGGAGGAGGCAGCAGCAGTGGTGCCTCACGTTCTTGGGAATCCCTGCCTCTGCCCCCTGTGCACACTCTCATCACCCCCCCACCCGCCTTCCTCTCCTCCCCAACCCCCACGCTGCTGCACATAGTGGTGGTGGGAGGGGGCCCCACGGGAGTGGAGGTGGCAGCAGCAGTGCATGACATGATGAGGGAGGACCTGTCTGTACCGCCTGTGCCCTGCACTCAAGGGGAAGGGGTCCATCTCGTTGCTGCAGTCAGGGGATCACATTCTGAACATGTGAGATGAGGTGCATGGTTCACATGGGTGCATGGGTCACATGGGTGCACGGGTCACATGGGTGCATGGGTCACATGGGTGCATGGGACACATGGGTGCATGGGTCACATGGGTGCATGGGTCACATGGCTACATGACAGAGGATCTCCACCGCCTGTAACCCACACTTAAGGGGAGAGCATCAGTCTCTCTTGTGCAGTCGGGAGACCACATCCTCAACGTGTTCGATGCCATGCTCCTGGGCGGCGTTGGTCAAGTGGGTGTACGTGAGAAGAGGACTAAGGGGAAATGGTCTATCCCGCTCACCCTTGCTCACCCCCGCAGCCCCCCTCACCCCCGCTCTACCCCACTCTCCCCCACTCTCCCCCACTCTCCCCCACTCTCCCTCCCCCCTTCCCGTCCCCCGGCCGGCACCTCCTCGCCTCGACATCCACCCTCCCACGCCCATCCTTGTCCCGCTCAGGTTTCTCCTGAGCATATTGAGGGTACCTGTGGCATCACGGTGCGCACACCTCTTCTGTCTCTCCCTCTTCATCACCCCATCTCGCCCCCTTCCCTCCACCAGGTTTGACCTGCGCATATCTGACTTCGCCGCCCGCAAGTTCCAGCGGGACGGCATCACGGTGCGCACGCACGCGCGGGTCACAGCTGTCAACCCGCGCTCGCTCTCAGTGCGGGACTCGGGGCACGCAGGCAGTCACAGGGACAGGGACAGGGGTAATGAGAAAGGAGACGCCAAGGCAGCAGGTATTGCCGGCCTGCGGCTCGTAGCCAGCACTGGCAGCACGGACAGCAGCAGCAGCAGCGACAGCAGCATGGAGAGCAGCGGAACGAGGGAGGTGCCTTATGGGGCCGTGTGGTGGCCGTGGTGTGAAGGCCGTGTGGTGGCCGTGGTGTGAAGGCCGTGTGGTAGCCGTGGTGTGAAGGCCGTGTGGTGGCCGTGGTGTGAAGGCCGTGTGGTGGCCGTGGTGTGAAGGCCGTGTGGTGGCCGTGGTGTGAAGGCCGTGTGGTGGCCGTGGTGTGAAGGCCGTGTGGTGGCCGTGGTGTGAAGGCCGTGTGGTGGCCGTGGTGTGAAGGCCGTGTGGTGGCCGTGGTGTGAAGGCCGTGTGGTGGCCGTGGTGTGAAGGCCGTGTGGTGGCCGTGGTGTGAAGGCCGTGTGGTGGCCGTGGTGTGAAGGCCGTGTGGTGGCCGTGGTGTGAAGGCCGTGTGGTGGCCGTGGTGTGAAGGCCGTGTGGTGGCCGTGGTGTGAAGGCCGTGTGGTGGCCGTGGTGTGAAGGCCGTGTGGTGGCCGTGGTGTGAAGGCCGTGTGGTGGCCGTGGTGTGTAGGCCGTGTGGTGGCCCTGGTGTGAAGGCCGTGTGGTGGCCGTGGTGTGAAGGCCGTGTGGTGGCCGTGGTGTGAAGGCCGTGTGGTGGCCGTGGTGTGAAGGCCGTGTGGTGGCCGTGGTGTGAAGGCCGTGTGGTGGCCGTGGTGGTGTCCCACCTGTTCATGCCGAATTGTGACCTTTGCTGCTCCTTCCTGGAGGCACATGCCTGGGGATCATGCTCCAAGCGATGAATGCATGCGCGACTAGGGTACATAGATGGGGGTGTATGTATGGCAGGAAGTGGGTGGGCGACACGTAGGGGAGTGGAGGAGATTAATTGTGCGCTATTCACTCATGTATCCCCCTCTCATTTGTCCCTTCTCTTGACGCCCTTCACTAAGCCACCTCTCTCCTGCAGCACCACAAGCAAGCACTGGATGTTGGCTGAACGGATGGCAGAGAGGGGAGCGCTGCTGGCATGTTCGGTGGGAGATCCAGGGACTGCCTCGGGCCCGCCTGGATGCCGCAGTCCAGGGGAAGCGTCGGGGTTGGGCCTGGCCCAACCAAGCCCGTCCCTTCCTACATGTCCTCTGCTATCGGTTTCCCTTTTCATCTCCCTCCCCTCCCAAACCCCCCCCCTCTCTCGCAGCACCACAAGCGAGCTCTGGAGGTGGACGAGTGGATGGCAGTGAGGGGCGCAGAGGCGGGCAGCATGTGGGCACTGGGCGATTGTGCTGCCATCGCTCACAGGCCGCTGACTGTGAGTTAGTTACATGCCTTCCCCTCTACGGCAGCATGTGGAACAACCACTATGTGAGGCGGGCAGCATGTGGAACAGCCACTATGTAAGGCCGGCAGCATGTGGGCATTGGGCAGCTGTGCTGCTGTTGCTCACCGGCCGTGGACTGTGAGTTGCTCCTCACAGGCATGCACATGTGACACTCTACCGCACCGTGTTGGGCCGGCAGCATGTGGAACGGCCTCTACGTGAGGCGGGCAGCATATGGGCGCTGGGCCACTGTGCTGCCATTGCTCGCCGACCGTTGACTGTGAGTAAGGTTGAATCACCCATGCAGTGGTGAGGCAGGCAGCATGTAGATCTGCCTTTCTCTCTGCCTATCAGCACCCTTTCCCACCAACACAACACCCCACCAACACCCCACCGACACCCCACCAACACAACACCCCACCAACACCCCACCGACACCCCACCAACACAACACCCCACCAACACCCCACCGACACAACACCCCACCGACACAACACCCCACCGACACAACACCCCCAACACCTTCCCCCACCCCTCCTCCATCTTGTTCTTTTGTTCTCGCCTGCTCTTTGGAGAACAAGACACTTCAGATCTCTCCCTTCTATGACACTACACCAACGACCATGGCTATCTCTTCTCTTGCACTCTCCTCTTGCCTTCTCTCCACCCTCCTCGATCCCCTCACATCGTCACTCAGTTGTTTGGGAGACATCGCGCATCTTTTCGCTTCGCTGACACTAACAGGGATGGACTTCCCTTCTGTTTCTCCCCTCCCCCCCCCCACTCCCCCACACCACCACATCATCTCGTATCACTACTGTGTTTCCAGGACGAGACAGCACGCACCTTCCGTTCTTTCGACACCAACGGCGATGGCTGCCTCTCACCCTCCGAGACCAAAGCGGCAATCGCTGCTCTGCGGGAGCGCTACCCGCATGCTGCTGCTGTGCTCAAGTCACGAGACCGGATGAACCGACTCATTCAGGTGCACTGGCACGCATCCTTCGCATGCAGGCACACTCCCTAGGCACAAAATCCACATCCTTTCCTTTCATCATCCCGCTTCCTCTCTCTCTTTGCTGTTCCCCCACGCAACTACTCGTCCATCCATGGCCCTGGCAGGACGCAATGCACGGAGAGAATGGCTCCCAGGGCGAACCTCTGGCAGGCAGCGGAGTGCGGGGGGAAGGAGATTGATGGGACTGCGTGTGAGGGCAGGGGGCTGTCGCTGGAGCAGTTTGAGGCGGTGCTGAGGGGTGTGGAGGGGCAGATGAAGACGCTGCCGGCCACGGCACAGGTGGCAGCGCAGCAGGGCGAGTACATGGCGCGCTGCTTCAACCGCCTGCTGGAACCCTCTTTGAAGCCGGAGGGGCCGCCGAAGCTGAGGGGGGAAGAGAGGCACGTGCTGCAGCCATTCCGGTGAGTTAAGTAACTGCTAGGCGCAGCTTTGGTCACAGCTTGGATGGCAGCGCAGCAGGGCGAGTACGTGGCGCGGTGCGTCAACCGCCTGCTGGACCTCGGGTAAAGCCCGAGGTGCCTGCCAAGCTGAGAGGGAAAGGGAGGCACCTGCTGCAGCCATTCCGGTGAGCTTAAAAGGGTAGTAGGTTTTTTTAGTGGGGGAGTATGTGGCTCGTTGATTCTGTCACCCTCTCTGCTGCCGATCTCCCTCCCCTCGCTGACTAGCCCAGCTACATATACTGGGGGCAGTTTGCCCCTCCTGGTCAGAGCCACCACTCACTCCCCCCTCCCCCCCTTTTTTTTTCTGCCCATCTGCTGGTAACTCATCTCCCTCTGCCCACACAACCCAGCTACGTGCATTTGGGGCAGTTCGCCTCTCTGGGGTCAGAGACTATAGCAGCAGCGCTTCCACCTGCTGGGGCAAACTTTCTTGGTTCTGTCCATATTGCATGATTCGTCTTCCCTCCCCCCATCCTTCCCCAGCTACGTGCATTGGGGGCAGTTCGCCCCTCTCGGGTCTGAGACAACAGCATTGGCCGGTCCACCCAATGGCTCTGGTACTCGGTGTACGCCAGGTGGGTGTATGTCCATGCACCCATGTTCTTAAATTCTTCAGCATTTCGTTTGTGGTTCATATATTTTGTGCCGGGAATCATGCCGTACGGTGCTTGCTTGCAGCTCGTTTTTTAAACCTTCCAAAGAGATACAGTAAGCAACTCACCACAACCCCCTTCTTCTCATTGGTTGGTTCCTGCTTCGCAGCAAACAAGTCTGTGCCAGGACAAGAGCACTGGTTGTGTTTGATTGGGTCAAATCAGCCATATTTGGTCGGGATTCGAGTCGTATGTGACTACTTCCTGTACATCTGTTACCTACTTACTGCTATTTCATGTAACGCCTCATAACCGCGTACAAAGCACCCTTTGTCGACAAACATACAATTCTGTCTGCACATATTTATTTCGTTTAGGTATGTTTGTTATAGCCTAGCTAGAGCAAATCTTAGAGACGACAATATTCTTGTATGTGTATCTCCCTTCCCCCTCTTCTTAGTCACAATTTTTCCCGCTGCTCTAACATGGTATTGAGCTAGGTTGGATTTTTCTTCCGTCGTTACTCACGCTTTTGCCGTTACTCATGCTTCCACCGTTACTACTGTAGTTTGTTTGTTTGTTTGTTTTTTGTTTTTGCTTTTTTTTGTTTTGTTTTTGTTTTGGTTTTGTTTGTTTGTTTGTTTGTTTTTTCTCACGCGTGTGCAACTCTCTCAATTTTGCAAACCTCCTGCCCTCCAATTTCGCGCTCTGTAGCCTCGACACCCTCCCCCTAGCGTTCGCGCTGTTTCTGTCAGAACTCGGCCACTAACTACTGAGTTGAAAGGGCTTGATAATATAGCAGGTCAGTGCGCTCATAGCCCCCCTGGCTCCACACCTGTGGCCCTTCCCCGAGGATCTTCTGAAGGGTAATCCCAGCGGGTCTCTCGTGTCAGAAACTCAGCCACTAACCACTGAGTTAAAAGGGCTTGTTAATAGCGGGTCAGTGCGCCCATAGCCCCCCAGACTCTGCACCTGTGGCCCTTCCCCGAGGATCTTCTCAAGGGTAACCCCAACGGGTCTTTTGACAGTTTCGTATGGCAGCCAGCAGGCCGGGGAGCCAGCCAGCACGCTCGCCAGCACGCCAGCCAGCACGCTAGCCGACGCGCCAACCAACACGCCGGCCAGCACGCTAGCCAGCACGTCAGCCAACGCGCCAACCAGCTAGCCAGCACGTTAACCAGCTAGCTCGCCAGCCGCGTTAGCCAGCGCGCAGCCAGCAGTGCTAGCCAACTCGCTGCCACGTCCCAAAAAAGAGGGGTCGAAAATTCAACCTCCAACCAACCCCAGGGAACCCTCGAGGTTACCCTCAGGAGGTAACCCTAAATGCGCATAACAACGTGTCGGGGGCAGTTGGAGGTAGGGGTTGTCAGAAACTAGCTTAGCTAGGAAGCCATAGAATGGCACAAGGTTTAGCTAGGAGCTAGGAGGAGCCATGAGAATGGCGAGAGGTTTTAGGTGCTAGGAAAGTTGAGGAGAGGAAAAGGTGTTGGATTAGAAGAGAGGGGAGTACAAGGAGGGGTTTGTACCCCCTACAGAAAGGTTCAGTAACAACCTACCAAGCCTATATAAATTATAACTTATATAATTTTAACACACCCCCTAGGCTTGGTAGTCACACACCCACACACACCCACACCCCCTAACCTAGCACCCCCATTCCAGCCACAGTGACAGCGACTCTAGGTCGGTCGACCCCACGGCGCGTGAGGCGGCGACGTCGACCGCAGGGGCTGCGGCGGCGACGGCGGCAGCGGCGGCAGTGTCGACTGCGGCGGCGGCGGCGGCGTGCGGCTGCGTGGCCCCGACGCAAGCGGCGACAGCGGCGGCGGCGGCGGCTTCGACAACAGCGGCAGCGGCGGCGGCACCCGCACCTCTCGGTGACGTGGCCTGGCCCCGCGACTGTGGGACGGCCGGCGGGAGTCAGCCGTCGTCTGCGGAATGGAAGAGGGCGCAGGGGAAGGAGGGGGGGTGGGGGGGGGGGGCGGCGCCACAGGCTGACATGCGGGCGGCCGGTCTAGCGGCGCCACAAGCGTCACGCGGCCGGCTGCAGCCCGACGACGCCGTCATGGAGCGGCGTCGATGCCGCAGCGGGGCGTCGACGCTGCGACGGCAGCACGACGTCGCTGGTACGCCGACTGCGCGCTGTCGCGTAGACGCCGCGGCAGCGTGACGGCGCCGTCACGTCGCGACAGCAACTTGACGCGACGGCGGAGCTGCGGCACGACGGCGCGGCCACAGCAGCTGGACGCGGGCGCCATGGACGTCGACAGCGGCGCCGCGGCACGACGACGCGGCCACAGCAGCTTGACGCGGCCGCCATGGCAGCGCGAGATAGAGAGAGAAACGAGCACGCAGCGGAAACGCGAGGAGCAGGCCCACACGGAACGAACTGCTCTAATACCATGTCAGAAACTAGCTTAGCTAGGAAGCCATAGAATGGCACAAGGTTTAGCTAGGAGCTAGGAGGAGCCATGAGAATGGCGAGAGGTTTTAGGTGCTAGGAAAGTTGAGGAGAGGAAAAGGTGTTGGATTAGAAGAGAGGGGAGTACAAGGAGGGGTTTGTACCCCCTACAGAAAGGTTCAGTAACAACCTACCAAGCCTATATAAATTATAACTTATATAATTTTAACAGGGGTTGCCTCGGGTCTGCCCTCTTCTGTGCCTACGAAGTGCCACCCAATCCATACCACGATCTAACAGAATGCTCGTGCTGCGCAAAGTTCCGATAGGTGAAAAATGCGCGGCAAAATGCGCTGTATTAGTTTCGATAGGAGAATGCGGCCTATTGTGTTGATAAAATGATGCTACACTAATTGTAAAAATTGTCGTACAATTGTTTGACAAAAACACAAGCATATATTGTGATAGTAACGAATGTGATGATGTGTAGCAAAAATTAGCATGCTACACTTTGCCGAGAAACACACACCATGTGCGTTATTATGCTCACCTTGTGCGTTATCTCGCGCTCGCCGGCCCCTCGCTTGCCGACCCCCTGCTCGCCGACCCCCAGCAAGCCAGCCCTAACGTACTGACCCCGCGCTCACGCCGGCCCCAGCTCCGCCGGCCCCCGATTCGCCGGCCCCAGCTACGGCGGCCCCAACTCCGCCAGCCCCAGCTTTGCCGGCCTCAGCTACGTCGGCGCCCAGCTTCGTCGGGCCCCAGCTCCGCCAGTCCCAGCCCGCGCTGGCCCTACCTCCCGCCGAGCCGTGCCGCCGAGCCACAGTGGCGCCGTGTAGTCGTGCCGCTGAGCCGCCGAGCCGCTCAGTCGCACTGACCCGATGGCCTTGGCTCCCCTCTAAGCCGGTGCTCCCACCGACTATCTCCACCACTCTCCATCGCATTCCACCGCTCTCCACTGCTCTCCACCGCTCTCCACCACTCTCCACCGCTCTCCACAGCTCTCCATTGCTCTCCTCCGCTCCGCCGCTCTCCTGCCCCCTCCAGCGATAGTCAGCTGCTGCAGCCTTGGTGATGGCAGACTCAGTGCTCCGCCTGGACGCGGAGGGTCAAGCGGTTGATTTTGAGGCGTCGCTCGTCGACCTCCGCGCCAGCTGATAGGTCAGCGCTAGGACGGCTATTCCCTGGCCGTCCATGTCGACGGTAAGCTCCCCTGCCCCACCGTGCCTACTGCCCTCCCTGACGCCCCCACGTCTGCTGAGCGTGATACCTTTGCCACTTCAGAGCTTGCGCGCGCTGTTTGGGAGTCGTGCAACGAAGTCGCACAGCTTGCCATTAGTTACACCCTTCCCCTTTCTAAGCGTCCCCACTTTATTGCTCTAGCAAATGCAAAGGAATACTTAGATGCGGTCATTGGGCGCTATCCCACTCCCTCCTCAGCCTCTGCTGGCCGCCTGATCCTCCCCATGCTATTCCCCGTTCTTGCTTCCTTCCCCACTATCGCTGACCTTGGCGCTCATTTCCGCGCACTTGAGACTAGCTACCGCACTTCTAGCATTGAGGCACAGCTCAATGCATTCCCGCCACCACTTTGCGCTACCCTTTACCTCATTGCCACACGCCTCCCTGACCGCCTTGCCACTGCCCGCGACCACTTCCTTAGCACCTTGGTGACCTCACCCTTATTGCCTTTGTTACCACCATGTCCGTGATAGAGACCCGCCAGCACACTATCGCTCAGTTTAGCGGTACTGCGGCGATCCCTATCTTCCTCCTAGTTCACTTATTCTGACGTTTCTGTCGCTGTCGCTCAGACAGCCCCTGCTGTTGAGACCGCTGCCTCGGCCTCAGCGCAGCCGCATCAGGGTAAGGGCTGCCGCCCCAAAGGGGGGCGTGGCAGAGGGAAGGGTGGCGGGGGTGGTGGGGGTGGCGGAATTGGCGAAGGTGGTGGCTGGAACGGTGGTGCAGACAAGGGGACCGGGGCTGATGCCATAGAGCAGCAGCAGCAGTAGCCTCAGCAGTAGTAGTAGCAGCATTTGCCGCAGCAGCAGCAGCAGCCGTGGGGACCCCGCCGCCATGGTGGCCTTGCGGCGTTGGTGGTGGTGGTCATGGTGGTGGGCCGCGCAGCTCGATGTCGGGTGGCGGCTCCAGTGTGGTCACCTACATGCACCAGCTTCAGTTCGGCCACCACCGCGGCACCGTCTGCAACCGTCCAAGTCACACCACCGCCTGCTACTACCACCACCTTGACGACCTCTTCCGTCTCCGCTTCGGCCCCACGTTGGACCCCCCCAACTGGTACAGCTTGGTGCGCCGCCGTCTGCTTGTCTTTGAGCTTGGTATGGACCAGATTAGGTCTGCTAAGTCTGTCATGTATGCTGATGACTCTTGCGTGATTGGAACCTATTACCCTGTGTTGCCTAGTGTAGGTGTGTCCACAGTGTGTAGCTTAGGTTCCCCTGCTACGTCAAGCGTAGGACCACCTGCCTTGTTTAGCCTCGGCTCTACTCTACCTCCTCCGCCTGCAGCTGCTACCGTCGCGCTCTCTTTCACGATAGACTCTGGTGCGTCCGCTTGCTTCTTTCGCGACCACACTGTGCTCACGCCGCTTGCTGCCCCTGCCGATGTAGCACTTGCTGACCCCTCCTCCGGTCTAGTAGTTTCTCGTAGCTCCACTACCCTTCCCTGTCCGGTGGCTCCCTCGGGCTCTCTTACAAGCTTGCATATCCCCTCGGTCTCCAGGAACCTATTTGGTGTCGGTTGTCTTCACGACCTCGGTGTCACCACTACGTTTCCTAGCCAGAAGCGGTACGCAGTCCGCACCGAGGCTGCCACTGGTGCCTCTCTCACCACGTTCCCCCGGGACCCGATGTCTGGCTTGTTCACCCTATACACTGTGTCCCCCCCAGTAGGAGAGTCCCCCCAGGTGCCCGCCCCCTTCCAGGTTGCTGCGGCTTGCTCGTGTCAGTCGCTCACTCACTTGTCGCTTCTGTGGCACCACTGCCTTGGTCATCCTGCACTCCCGCGTCTGCGATACATGTCCCACTACGGTCTTGTCTTAGGTCTCCTACCT